TTTCCCTTAGAAAGTCCTCCACGAAGGCATTCCTCCCCTTAGGCAGATAGCCCTCGAGGCTTTGCCATAATCACACACACACTTATGGTTTACCTTTAAACCTCTGAAGGCGAGGAAACTAGCATGCATTACTTTTCGGGGTACTATTCCGTCATAAGGGCCGTAAAAATTTGCCAAACTACTGTTCATGCCAATGCTGCCAAAATAATTACGGTAACCCTCACGCAAGAAAGGAAACATAATAGTAAATAACTATCTAAGATTATTGTTTTAGTTTAGATGAAAGGTTAATTTCATGTAAATACACTTTTTTGTTATAATTTATAAACAAAAAGCTAAACATAGCTGAAATTAAACCGGAGATATAATATTATTTTGTCTTCCAACATAGCACAGAATATTTCAGTTTTTTGTGCCAGCGTCTGTACATAAACTCAGACAAATAATAATCGAAATGCTGTCGAGCAGTACTACTTTTATTATGTCATTTAGCGCTGCCTACAGCCAAGCTACTGTTTGTCTATGGCACTCACTTTCGGGGTCCACAAAATTGTAGTTGTGATTGACAGTAAAATGTTCAAAACCGGCATTTTGCAGTTCATCCGACGTGTATGATTTTCAGCAGTCAGTATAAATAAAAAATACTTCCTTCTGCGATATTTTCTCTTATGACATTCAATAAAGTTTTCGCCGATCGTTCTAGAACAGCGATTAAGGAGAAACAATTATGGTATTCTCTGCATAATCCGCCGAAAACACATTGTGGCGGAGGAACACGTTCAACATTATTCTTTCTTCTACAGAAAAGGCTTTCGTCTACTTCAATAATTTTGCCCCATCCGCCGATTTTCAAGTTAGGCCGAGTAAATAAAGTTGCGGCAAACATTTCATGCATGTAACTGTTCCAGTCTACAGTTGTATTGTGGTTCATCTTCAGATGGAGTTCACAAAATTCAATAGATATCATCTCCGGACACCAAAAATAGATGAACCTAACGGTTGTAAGAAAGGGGATTTTCGATCCTTCGACCCAATTTTGATTTCTCAATCCTTTCTTCTCATTACATGTTTCTTTCCGGCACCGCCATTTCGCTACTGATTTACCGCTAAAGCATAATTTCATCCCGTGGTTGTTCGAACATATTTTTCTATCATGAATGATTTGTGTTCTTTGAAAAAATTCTATTGCAGGCTTTTCGTCATTGGACAATTCCCAAATTGTTAAATCCATAGCGTTATTTGAAAAGAATTAAAAAATTAAATTAGTATATCAATGGCGACTATCTAAATTTATGCACTTCGGCAAGTTCGCTAAATTTGGCAAGCGGTTAAATGAGCGCGTTTAGTAGATTTGGCGCTTTTGCGCATATATTTTCGCTGCAATTTTTTACGGTCCCTAAAACGGAATAGTACCCATTTCGGTGCTCCATTGGATTAAAGCATGATATAAGAATTCTGTCTTTCCCTACGATATAAACGTTTTGCATGAAATAACACAGTTTTTTAAATAAGTTTCATATTATTAGGCTACTATTATGCATAAAAGCAAGTATTGCTTAAATTACATTATTTCAGGTTCATCGCAGTGCTTTACGCGTTTCAAAGAGCCTCCGTTTAAATGCTTAAGGAATCCCTTTTACATGCATAAGGAAATAAATTGTTACTGTGTCACTGAAATTTTGGTCACAAGTATTTTAAGATGCAAATCGAAGACTGAATTAGGAACGATGATAAAATAGGGGTTTCTAATACCCACTTCATTGCCTTTGTCAAAGAAAGAGTACAGAATTATGAAAGATTATAAATTTTATTTAGAGACTTCTAAAATTTGGTATGAAAAACACTGTGGCCTAGTCGATTGTTAGGAAATCTATTGCCCCTAGTCACGACCAGAAGTGAATACAATGCAAATAGAACAAAAAAGAATATCAAATTGAGACTCCTATTATAGGATCGCTTATTATACACTTAGTAAAGGTATCGTATAAATTGCGAGTCAAATTGCGCATCATTAATTACAGTACCTGACGCATGTTACGATTCTTAAATATTAATTAAATTCCATGATTAGGAAATGAGATGAGTTGGAAATGAGGGGACAGGAGGACGACAAAGCTTACAATTGCATAATTCTTAATTAATGCTGCGCTGAGTTTGGAGAATTTCGTAAAAGTTTGAGGGGATGAAAAAACTGCTGTCAGCCTTTCTCTCCCCCCCTTTTTTTAATGAAAAAAAAGCAAACTATTTATAGTTTGCGTTAAAGATAAAGCCTATGCAAGTTAAGAAGTGAATTTATTTTTAATAAAACGAGTGTTTCTGTAAAAAGGTATCACGGAGATATACAACGAAAACAACGCAGGTATAATGGATAACTTAATACAACAGAATCTCTACTTTCAGAGCACAAAATGATTTACAGACGTTAGAAACATTACTTGATAAGAAGATTTGTTTGATGGAAGTATAGATTTCGTTGTTTCTGTTATAAAGTGATAAGTCGTTTTGTTTGATGGTCATGGAAACGCGTAGTGTTCCTTGCCCTTCTTTAAAGACGATAATCCAAACGAAAGTGAGACACAAATTGTCATACAATAATCTTCTGACCCTAAATCATCCTCAAGCGCTTAACAACCCATTGTTATGGAGAAACATTTTACTATATTGTTCTACAACTACTTATTTATGTTCTGTCCGTCCACTTATCTCCACACGGCCACTTGCATTGTTAAAACGTTCATCGTTATGGATCTGCTTCTCTTACTGCTTGTAAAACTTTATACAAGACAGAGGAAAGTGAGGCGAAATAATGTTATGCAACACGTTTGTTTCTTAACTGATTACTTAGTAGGCTGCGGATGGTGCTTGAACAATGGGAAGGGCCGCTGGTACTCCAAGTTGCGGAAAATCTACCTATAAGCTTTAAACTATTAGTGAGGCAAATTTGATCACACGATTAATCACGTTCTGTATTTTTTACAACAGAACCGTGCGTATATTAGAGAATATATATGTATATTATACTTCTTTTTAAAGCAAGACATTTTATAAATTTAGTTGATTTATTTTTAGCAATATTAACTATTTTCTATATTTTAAAAGTGTAAATTACGTGATTTATTGCAACAGAACGAACAAACTGCTTTTAGTACCACCTTTTTAAGAGAATAGCTTATACAATAAGTCTTACGTATCTAGTCGATGCATTTGTTAATGTTCACTTCACTTTTTCCTTAGTTTTTTTTTTTTTTTTTTTTAAGTTTCGGAGAGATTTTTAATTTCTTCAGAAACACCCTTGGTACTTAGATTTTGATATTTTTGTCTGCAATACATTTTTCTTTGTCGCTTTTAAAGTTATTGCCGTGACTTTACTTAGGTAAAAGTATCCACTCAATTTATTTCAGTGAAACTACTGTGATTACATCGCAAGCACATTGAAGTCTCCTACTGTCGTCAAAAGTGTTATCTTCTTTTTCGCCAACATCATTGTCGTCAATTAATATATATGCAAACGAATCTCATTCATTTTCTAAGAATTTTATTCACTTGGATATCGTTTAAAATTAAAAATATAACAAAAATAGAACTCTACCAAAAAAGAAAAACATATGCAATTGTATATAATAAATTATTAATAAATGATGTAATTATACTTTCAAATCGCATTTGCAACTTAATGAATAGTTTGATATCCTGACTGATCCTTAGGAACTATGAGGGAGTTTTCAATAAATGATTATGAATATTAATCGACGTTTTCTGAAATCTACAAGATTTTTTCCAAAAGTTATGAAAATTGTTTACCTTTTAAATTAAACATGTAATTAATTACATTTATACTTTCAAAACAAATGACTTGTAATAAATACAGCAAATACAGCTTTGCTATTTTCCGCTACATGTGTATGAAGTCTTCATTAACGACACTGCTCAAGCGTCTCGTTACCAGCTAGTTGCCTAGACGTTACCAGCTTAAGCTGTAGGGCGGCGGGCGATGGGATGGCGGCGGGATATTTTTTTAACCAAAGGTTTCCTAACAGGCAATGATACATTATTTAATGCGTCGTCGGAGCGAAGGAACCATGTATTTTCAATTTTACACATTTCAATTCCACGCACGAGTATCTTTCTCAAATGTTATCTATTACCTGCAGGAACCACATCGTTTTTAGAGTTGAAGGAAATCCCGCGAGAATTTCTCAGCGTTCATTCAGCAAACGCTGTTATTGAACACAAAATAGAAACTCTAATATAGCTGTCGTCAGTAACTTGAAGTTTCAGATCCAAAACTTTCCGAGTTTTATGCAAAATTTTATCGCTGACGCTATTCGAAACTCTCTGTAAATCAACCTGCATACCCTGAGTTCCATCTTTTTCCATCTGCCTTCATTTTCACTTTCTCTTCCTTGCCCTTTTGGACTGTGCAAAGTCATTCTTATTTGAAACAGGTAACGTAAAAATGAAGTTATTTATAAAAAAGGGCTTTTGTTGTTCTTTTAAAACAACGTTCGTTACCACAGGTTATCTATCAATAGCCTATTGTCGACTAGAAATTATAGATAATTATTATTCACTAATATATCTTTTGTATATTATATATATTAGATAACGTAATCTCATAACAATGTCAGAAAAGAAAATGGTAATAAGGTCAGCTTAAGGAGAACACATGTGTAGAATATTATAACATTTTTATCGACAACTTTAGTTTACATCCTCAGTTTGCAAGGTAAATCATACGTAGATCTGTATCTGTTATATGGTACAAATACTGTGCTTAATTATAGAAATTTATATCACTAAGAAACGTCAAGATTTAATTACAGCTTCGTATACATTCTATGTACAAGGAATGAGAACATAAACTCTTCACATTTCGCGCAATTTTTATCAAAATTTTCTACCTATTGGCAAATTTAAGAGAATCTTTCAAATTTATTTTTCAAACATGGAGTGCTGCGCAGCTTTTTGAAAAACGTATATTAAGTTTGAAGGTGTCTTACCTTTTTTGATGCCATGGCGGGTAGCTAGCTTCCACAAACGAAATGTCTCTTCTTTTCAAAACCTAAGAAGAAAATAAAAACATTATTAATGATCTTAATGTGATACCTACATTTATTTTTAAAGTAAGATTATAAAGCAGGATCCCGATTTTCCATGGCCCCGAGGATTTTGTATTATCCGACAACGTGTAATTGCCTTTTCAAGTACTTTGCTTTCTCAGAGATTCGAGAATCTCGAATTAATTTCCTTCTCTAGATTCAATATTTTCGTAAAAGATCTATTTTAATGAAGAAAAAATAATGAATCTGGAAAATCCTGCTAAATGAAACACGGACAGTACTAAGTTATTTAAAAAAGTTTTATTTGTATTTTGGATTAGAAGTTTTTAAAAAATAAGGTACTATTCCGTTTTGAGGACCGTAAAAAATTGCAGCGAAAATGTATGCGCAAAGGCGCCAAATCTAGCAAACGCGCCCATTAACTGCGCGCCAAATCTAGTGAACACGCTGATTTCAAATTGCGTAAGTTTAGATAGTTCTATATTTCTTAATACGCCATTGAAATACTAGTTTAATTTTTAAATCATTTTTTGATATTCTATGGATTTAACAATTTGGGAATTGCCCATAACGAAAAGTTTGCAATAGAATTCTTTCAAAGAAAAGGCATCATTTATTATAGAAAATTGTTTGAACAATTAACGAAATGAAATTATGCTTTAGAGATAACACGGTAGCGAAATAGCGATGCAGGAATCCATTCAGTTGTCTTTAGCCCTTTTTTATATAAATTATAATAATAATCTGAAATAGTTATTTACTCTTATGCTTCTGAATAGTTATTTACTCTTTCTTATGTTTAGCCTTTTTTATATAAATTCTAATAATAAAGAATTATATGAAATTAACCTTTCATCTAAATTAAAACAATCTTTTGATAGTAATTTACTATTATACTTCCTTTCTTCTTGAGTTAGGGTTCCCACAACTTTTTTTTTTTTTTTTTTTTTTTTTTTTTTTTTTTTCGGCAACACTGGCATCAACAATAGTTTGGTGATTTTTTACGGTCCTCAAAACGGAATAATACCAAAAATAAGATTAATAGAAAAGATAAAAAAAGATTAGATTTTTTTTTTTTTTAGTTTCATAGTTATATGACAACTTTTTCCTGTGCATATAAACAGCCCATTGATTTAATAACTAAAAAATTCTGTATTTTGATATAAATATTCCAGAAATTGAAAAATTAATATTTTTGAAGCGAGTGTCTTTTAGAGATAAATCTCTTTTTGCACTAAAGTCGATTTTATGTAAATGAATGCAGTTTTAAGCATTTCAAAATTCTGAAGTTAAACTTAATCAGAAGATTATAAAGAATTAAACTTAATAAGAAAATAAAGATCTATGTATGATTACATACTAACGAAGAATTTACTTTATGTACGCTGTACATAATTTGCATTACCACTCTCGTTAAAAGCTCATATACCAAACACTATGAGCTTAAATGTCTTAAAATTTTCAGTTATTTCCAAATTGAAATGTTCAAATTAATTTCCTTTCTAGAGGCTGTATGCATTTGTGCAATTTGCTGAGAAAATACATATTATAGATTTACAAATTTTGAAAACACAATTTACCAAAGAAAGATATTTAGTATGTATATATATATATATAAACTCCTGTTATATGAAAATATAAAGGATTTAAAAAGCATTTAGGAAACGAAAGAAACAATTTAGATAGAAATTTGCGCATTGCAAAGTTAAATTTAAATTCAATTGTTCAAGAACGCAAAACTTAAAGCGAAAATATTAATGCCGCTAAAATATTTGAAGGTCGATCGATCTGTTATATTCTTGAAACATGTAAATTAGTAAAACGCAAATTAAAGAAACATACCAAATAAAATTTACGCTAAAACTGGAACAATTAGGAAAATGATACAATTAAAACCAAACAAGAAAATTTTTCCGTTTCCGTTTTTTTAATGCTTCAAACAGAACAAGCGCCCTCATTAATCAACTTAGTGTAAGGCATCAAAACACTTTTCCTTTGACAAGTTCTGTTTGAAGTATTAACAGAGAGGATTAAAAAAAAATTTCTTGTTTTGGTTTTAATTTTATTTTTTCCTAATTTTTCTAGTTTTAATGTAAATTTTATTTGGTATGCTTCCTTAATTTGCGTTTCACTAATTTACATGTTTCACGAATATCGGCCTTTAAATATATTAGCGGCATTATCTTTTTCGTCTATTTTATGTTTTGCGTTCTTGAATAATTAAACTCCTGTTATATATATATATTATATATATATATATATAATGTTGTATGAACTTAAATCCATTTAGTGCGAATACAGTTATTATTACTTGCGCAATTGCTGCAAAGTTAGTTAATAATAATTTATTTCCTAAACAGTATTGATTAATTGATTATATTATCTCCTAAGTTTAATTAAAGTAGAATTATTTTAAAAAGTGTGCAATCCATACTGGTAAGTTATATTTTGAAAGATGTTTTGAAGTAATTTGAAAGCAAAATGTTAATAATGTTTTAACGGGGACTGGAGTTAAATCATCACGAAGAATAAAATTACAATTGTAAAAGTAAAAATTAAAAAAATGTAATCATTGTCATTGATCGGAAATTAGTTGACTTTTCAAGGGGAACAAACCAACTCCCGTTCAATGAACAATAATTGATAAAAATACGTAAATACGAAAGTGTTTCGTCTTTACTCGAGTTATAAGTTAAAGCCAAACCGGCAATTCTAGTCAGGCCAAATATTTCCGCGAATAGTTGTTACTCAAAGAACTTATTCTTATGAAGCATTTTAGTCAATTCAATTTGGAGTAAAAATCAATTACTGTAGAGAAATCCTGTTAAAAACTCGAGTAACCGTCCCCGACACTATCATCTTTATGTATTTGAGTACTATATTATTTGTAGAAATTAAACATTGGAAATTGTCATTATGAAATCGAAATTCAAAGTAAAGTTGAAATAAACATAGAAGATTATAAAAAGATAAATAATGCAATCTTTGTAAAAACAAATCAAAGAGAACATAAAAATAATATAAAAATAAAATAGAAAATAATATAAATAAGATCAGTGAATGTACATGAAGATATAAAGGCCAGAAAGGTATTAAGTAACTTACATTCTTTCTAGTGGGGGAGTTGGCAATGTGTTCTCTTCGTGTCTGACTCAGAAGTGTAGGGTGTCCGAAAATTCTTAGCGGCAGTAGGGGCTTTGAATTATATCAGTCGGTAAGACTTGGGTGAAGAAATTTATGGTATATGCATATATCTATTTATATTCTTTAAGTTTGTTCACATTTTACTAGGCACAATTCTCACACATTTTTAACCACATTAGAAACACTTACCGCATTAAGAAGCAGTGCAAGTGCACCAGCATCATTTCCTACAGTTGGAAAGCGCAATAAAAGAACGTGTATTAATACTACAGAATATACAACGAACATATTTATTTCAAAAGTAATTTTAAAATACTATTATTTTGATTGGTGGTGCGCTTATGTGTGCACTTGTCAATTTTTATGAGAAAGCGTGCGCACGCACATATTAGTTGGAACTCTGTTTAAGACCCATAGTTTGAGAAGTCCTGCCTAAAAGTATGAAATTAGGCTAAAAAATGATACTGTTATACTAAATCTGCGAAATGTTTTATAGCCGTCACTTTCAGGCCTTTTGTTTCATATAAGTTATTCAAAAAACTTCAGGTGCGTTAAACTTAAGATAATCCGTGTTTTACCGTAGTTGTAATTCATAGCAGATATTGTAGAGCTTTTTTATTATTACAGCTGCATATGGATTTAAAATTTTTTTGTTCAACAGAAAGCGAATCTCTCAGGTATTAACTTTCGCAAATAGATGAATCTCGTGTGCTGACTTCGTAGCTGTCATTTCTATATATGATTTATTGCGTTGACGTAAAAGTAATGGAAATTTCTGCATCATCAATATTCGCAAGCAAACAATAAATCATTACATTAAGCATTACATTAAGCATACTTTAAGAACATTTGGCAGCATGGTGTGGCAGAAGACTTTTAAAACAGGCAAAATCTTCTCCATTTATTTTCATTCCGACTTTTTTCCGGGAGTTGTTTTTATTTCTTACACTGCAAGAAGCACAGCGAATATATGCCCTTTATGATGTTTGATGAACTTTGAAAATCTTACTTGAGTGCATGCGCGGTCAGGTATTTAGAAAATATAAAACAAATTTTCAGTGACAGGTACTTTGCGACGAAACTTTACCGGCTTGAACTAACAATTAAAGTAGTTTCGACCTCACAAAGTAACAAAATTCTATACTTTCATTTGAACTTCAGACGTTTCAAAAGTAATCATTAATAAGAAGAGAAAAAAAGAGAAAAAGAACGTCCGCGAAAAGTTCAACATTAGTAGGCAACTCACATAGAAATTTTCTGTCTTAATAACACTCAAATATATTTTCAGATGTTATTCACAGTGGGTAGATCTGCAGGTCTTTAAGTTACCGTTTTCCTTATGAAACTCGCTCCCATCTATGAGGCACAAAAGACCTTTATTTTACCTACCAACTTGTTTATTTAATTTATAACAACACATATATCACCAACGTAATAAAAACTGTTTAAAAATAGTTTATCTTTTTTGATGCTACTTTGAAATGAGTATTTTAACAACTACATCATTTAGATCTAACTAATATCATAAATACATGCAAAGAGACCTTGCGAAAATGATTTTTCACGACTTCTGAAGATTTTGATCTTTGTAGAGGTATTGTCTGAAAGAGACATTTAGTATCAATACTTGCTCATGTTGTAAAAAACATAGGCAATTTTGAAGAATGTCTTTTTTTTTTTTTTTTTTTTTTTTTTTAACTAAAGATAGTCGCCATTTGTTTTTATGTGCTATGAATCTATGTTTAACTATTTTATGTGTATGTTATGATCTTCATTAAAATTAAATTTATCGATCATCACAAAATTTTGCCGCAGTTTGCATCGCAAAATATTATTGCAGTCGTGTTTTTGTTCTTTT